CGCCTTCACCTCGGAGCAGGTCTGCCGGCTGGAGAAGACCTTCCAGCGCCAGAAGTACCTGGGGGCCTCGGAGCGGAGGAAGCTGGCGGCTGCCTTGCAGCTCTCGGAGATCCAGGTGGGTCCCGGAGGAAGCGGACCCTGCCCGCTCCCGTCGGGCGGGGGCAGCCGGGTCTTGCATCGGCCTTCGGCGCGCTGAAGCGGCGTAGCCGTCTTCAGCTGGGTTTAGCAGGGGCTGGGGGAAGGGTAGTGAGATCCCTCGGGAATTTTAACGAGTTAACACTCGGGGAACTTGGGGGCACTTTCTACCGGGGAGGTATCAAGCTTCCTTATTTCTTAATAAGGTAAAATGCTTGTCCTTGACGTACAGCTATCTGCGTAGACCTTGCAAAGCTTATATAGGGTCTTAAAGACTCAAAGGGATTAATCTAAAATCGCTGAACACGGACCCTCTTCCCCTCCACACCGCCCAGATCCTCTGCCCTCGGTTAACTGGGGCGAAAGCATCAGTCCGACTCTGTCAATTCAACTGGAGCAAAATGGCAAAAGCAGCCGAGATACAGTTGTTCGTAGTTTGCACGTTATTTTTAAGCAAAGTCCCTGATTTGTCTCCACCCCCCAACCCGTTCTTTTTGTTGCTCAGGTCAAGACCTGGTTTCAGAACCGGAGGATGAAACTGAAGAGGCAGATACAGGACCACCAGCACAGCCTCGTGTCTCCTGCTCCGCTCTACAGCTATCCCCCGGGGACCCCACCAGCTCTGTTTCAGGATGGTCTCCACTACCCCTTTGCTCCACAGCACCAGAGACTCCTGCCTTTTACCCCGGTGCCAGCTGTGCAGTTCAGCTTCTCCTTTCCTAGACACGATGCATCGCAAAGCACCTACAGCTTTATGGCAAATGAGCAGCCGTACTACCAGCAACACTTTCTTCCTCATCCTTCTTTCCATCCAGTTATCCAGAACAAAATGGACAAGCAATGCCACCCTGTATATGTATTATAGTGAAAACAAAAAGGGGCAGGCAACGGGGAAAAATGTTGTATGCTGTAATGTATTTTGTGCTCAGAATCTCTTGTCTGATTTGGAAGAGTATGTGTTTATTATTTTAAGTTAAACGCAAAACGGGGTAATTTTATATTTGTACTAATTGGTATTAAAATTTACTGGATGTGATGCCACTCAGTAATTTTTTGTTTGATAGGCTATTAATTTTAAAAATATTGGTAGTCTACTGTCTTCCTTCAAAAGATAGTAGACTGAAAGGAAGCTGCTGAAAGGGAACTGGAGGGAGAAAAGCAGTAGCAGAAACTTGCATTTACCAGATTTCCCATGGTGCAGGGCAAAGTTATTAAGTTTAGTCTGAAATTGGCGTGTTAAGAAACTGGTTTTCAGTGCACAACCCTAGTTTTCCATATATATATATATGTAAAAATAAAATCTGAACAAAGTTACATGTGCCAACTTGCACTTGTGCAATGTAAATGACCATGGCCACCTGAATTCCGGTTTTGGGTAATGGGGAAGGATTTAGATGTTTTAATACATCTTATCTGACTTTCCTACACTCATGCTGAGATATAGTCTGTCTGTTGTTGAGTGTGTTTGGGAGGCTGGACCTTAACAGTTGCATTGCAGTGTGCTTTTGGCTAAGTGCATTCTCCAGGAGGAAGGATAAATTGTTGGTGAGTTTCTCTTCTGAATATTAATCAATTTATTCCTTTGCATTTCCAGTCCCATCTTCCACATGAAAGCATCAGCTGTGTTAATCACAAATATTAAGTCGGTGTGGCTCTTTAAACAGGGATTAAACAGTTCAAGCCTTCAGTATGGAATTTTAAAGTTTTACAATTACCAAAACAAATACTTTGTAAAAAATTTAAGAGCATAATTGTGTTCAGTTCATAGCCATATTGTCTAAATGGGATTTTAATCTGCAAATTTGGCCTTTGATTCACCACTACATGCCCATGATAACTGCGTATTTTGAACCATTTTTTAGTAAATTGAACCTTTTAGAAGAAACATTTAAAGGGAGTAGCTCAAGTTTTTGCTTTAGCAATCCTGCAATCTGTTGGGTTTTTTAGTTCTTCCTGGGATCAGTTTTCACTCCTCTCCTGAAAGAGTTTAGTTATCACTCTTTATTGATCTTTTAGACTTTAATGAAGTTTCTTTAATTCACCTGAAAAGCCTTCTAAATGCATTAGAAACTTAAGTTGATTGCTCCATTGTAGTCTAAATTTCCCCGCTGCTTTACCCTCCAATCCAGTGAGCCAGCAAGAGTTTCTGATTTAATAACCTAGGGCCTTCTTACTTGTGAAAGAATGACTTGGAAGGGGTAAAGGGAATTTTCTCCAATTATGCTGTTCCAAACCAGAAGCAGTCTTAACTCCAAGAAGATCCAGGCTGACATGTTGAAAGCAAACCTGCTGGTTGTTGGGGGAAGCGAGGTGTGGAATTAGAGGCCGACTGTTCACTAATGGTCATGCTGCATTTTCCCTGCATTGTATAGTCTGTGTTCAAAGTGACTGAGAAACGCATGTGTTGTCCCTTTGGCTGCCTAGCTGCATCTCAGAGCAGTGCTGTCCTGGTGTGGCACCGAGAGGGTGTGTGGTGGGAGAGGGGGAGATTCCTTCAAGTGTCTCCCACCCTCCCCCTGGGTAGGAAAGGTAGGGTGCCTGAGAGGAGATTCAGAGATTACCACGCTATGGCATGCTCAGGGATTTCTTTATCACCAGAGGTTATAATCAGACAGGAGATGAGACACAGGAGTCAGGAATTTGGATGGAAGCACGTCCCCTCCTGTATCTCAATATTCCTATTGTCTACCAAAGACTGATTTCAATTTTGCTCTCCTTAGCCCCACAACACAACTGTTAATGGGAGGGGGGAGAGAGGGGAAGAAGGGAGGGCATGGCACAAGGCGGCTGTAGGCCCTGTTTGGCAACTTTTTTCTCTTGACAATTGCAAAGTAGCCTAACCATCACCAGGCAAGCAGGTTAGGATGGCCAGAGGGAGGGAAGGAGATGTAATCACACCTGCTGCAGTTGCTTTATGCTGATGCAAGATCTTGTTTCTCATTATTCCCCAAAGGCTCCACTTTGACATTTTCCATAATGCTTGCTTTGGTATTTTTAGGAACAGCCCTGAGTGTTTCTGATAGCAAGCCTAACAGAATGCTGCAGTTTAAAATTAGTGACGCTGCCAAGTTACAGCTGAAACTTTAGAAGTAAAAACTGAAACATTTTCATTTTGAGTGTCCCAGGAGACCTGAACCTGTGAACAACTAATGTTTTCATCAGCAGATTTAAATTATAAGCATGTTTGACACTGGCATCAAAATACATGCTTGCCAATTAATTCCTTAGCCTCAACTCTCTTTAAATGCATAAATGGAATATCTACATCAACAAACAGGGGGAGACCCCTTTAGCAATGGTGCAGAATATACAGATAAAAGACAATACTGGACAACTTGTTCAGTTTTGTTCATAGGGCTGCCAGCTTTGGTACCATTCTCATGTCAATGCTTTTGCTGTAGTTTACAAATTTTTGCTTAAAAACCCACACTCAAGTAGAATGGCTAAAGTTTTTAACACTGTTGTCTATTACATGATATAATTACTATGTAAACTGAAGTGTAAACAGCACTCCACTTTTTCAGTGGAGATCCCCACATGATTATAGGTTATTTTCTGAAAACAAACTTTTGTATAGGAAAATTCATATAGAAGTTTCAGTACAGCATAGCGAAGACTGTAGGAATAAAGGGAAGTTTCAAGTCTTCCACTTCCACTCTCAGTATTACTTCTCTAGCAGAGGCAAATTCTCTTCTCCTTTAACATAAACCCCCAAATTTGATTTAAAAAAAAAATATTGAATCGTCAATCTATTTAATATAACACAATAAGTTAAATAATTACTCTTGGAGATATTTGGCAGTTCTTATTTAGATTACTGGTAAACTTTGGCATTTTTAACAGGAAGGAAGATATGGCTGGAACCTCAGTCTTTTAAGGTCATCGGTTAGCGTCATTGCTGGAATTACAGAAGAGTAACAAGATAATCCTGGGCTGGGAGGCAACAGTAAAGCCGGACTTGGCAAAACTGGCTGAAGGGACGGAGCTGGAACAGAAGGTAACAACAAGGCAGGGCTTGGCATAGCTGGGTGAAGGGAAACAGCAGAAGCAGAAGATGCATTGATATCCATCCCCTGAGAATAGCTGGATGTGGCAATATCTGGGTAACGATAGGGCAAAAATAAGCCTGAAAAAAGAGCTTCCACCCTGGCATCCTGAGTCTGACGTTTAAACTTCATACGACGATTCTGAAACCAGGTTTTTATCTGAGGATAAGAAAACCAAAGAAGTCAAGAATGAACCCACTTGTCCCTTTTCCATAGAGTAGTACATCCTGAACTCAGACTGTCAGAGTAACAGAATATATTAACAGTTACAAGATTTAGGGCTAATTAACATTGATCTATATTCACTGTAGAGCAATTGTCTTGGCATGAGGAGGAATCAAGCTGTGACAACTCCATGAGGCATAGCAAGCCAATTTCTCAGAGATCAGATTTGGACCAGGCCTGTAACTCAAGACTGGTGCAGTGGGATTAAAGGGCTGGGTAGGGTTAGCTCTGTTCAGAGAGAAATCCTGCACTACTACCAAGTATGCACATAATTTTAAGGAAGAATTACCCTGAAAGTTGAAATGCCGGTGATTGTGCAAGTATTTTTACCTCCGATGAGGTTTCACCTTTTAAAGTTCGTAATCACCGTTTTCCATTTGCGTATTGTTTCTGGTTTAACACGAAGCTGCGGTGGACAGCAGAGCTGTGCCAGCTGAAGCAGGCTTGCAAGCTTGCTTCAGCTTGTTCTCTGCCAGAGGGGTGAGGCAGGCAGCCGGCCTGACCCGCCGCACCTGCGGCAGCCGTCGCTGTCCCCATCCCCCCGAGGGTCGTGAGGTGCCTACCAAGGCAGTCTCGGGCCGCGGACGCCCCTCGTCTCCCGCAGTTCGGAGGACGGTGCGCGGGGCCCGTCTCTCCTCTCAGGCGGAGGGCAGAGGCGGGCCCGGGGCGCCCCGGCCGCGCTCACCTGGCTCTGGGAGAGGTTCAGCGCGGCGGCCAGGCGCCGCTTCTCGTTGAGGCCGATGTAGCGCTGCTCGCGGAAGCTCCGCTCCAGCTCCTGCAGCTGCGCGGCCGAGAACTTGGTGCGGGGCCGACCGGGCACGGCCCCGCCGCCCGCCTCCGCGTCGTGCCCGGGGCTGCTGCTGCGGTCCGCGGCCTCCCGGTCCCGGAGCGCGGCTGCGGGGACAGGATGGGGACGTCGCGGGGAGGGGGGGACGACGACGACACACACGAGACACACACGACACACCCTTCCCTGAGCGGGCGCCGGGTCGCGCGGGCGGTGACGTAGGCAGCGGCCGCCCGTGCGGCCGCTGTCCCCCGACGGCCTCGCGTGCGGCGACCGTTAAGCC